CCCCCCCCCCCCCCCCCCATCAAATATCAAATGGTCCGTCCCTAAGTATTCTTGATTGGAAAGAACCTGGTTTGTTTCAATAATCAGTAGAACTGAAACGATAACAAGTGGGGAAGATAACAGGTTATGATTATGCAATCTGCAGAAATAATGGGCGGTCTGCCTCCAAATCAATTATGCAATCTGCAAAAATATTGGGAGGTCTGCCTCCCAAATTGACATGTGAAATTTTTAATAGGGATGCTTAGTCCCCCCTGAACTCCCAACCAGGGGGTAGCTTAGCCCCCTGAGACACCCCCCACCACACTTAATAATCACTTTTAACAAGAAAAGTGCTGTTTACAAAATATAAGTGCGATACTGTCATACTGAAGTCTTCATGATGGTATCAACATAAGATTCGATAATTGTTCCATCATTTAACGTTTTACTTTCGATACGTCAACATAGGTTTTGAATACTTTTCATCGTAAATATCTAAAATACGTGATTTTGAAAAACTGCTTCTTGGTGAGCCAAGGAAGGAAGCTGAGCTTAGTATCAAGGTCATGTAGATGCACGCAAACAATGCTGTGAAAATTCTCACCTTTCGAAAATATCTCATCCAAAATAGGATGCATTCTATTCACATGATCACTTATTTTTTAGAATACAATACATTAGGCCAAGTAAAAAAAACAAGTGTTTCGCGCCCTCACCCCAGGCCGTTCCCTTTTTTTTACTTGTTTACCAGTCCAAATGACAGACTATTATTTTGAATACTTGAATTAGTATTAGTAATACAATATTAATAGCGACAGGTCACTCGCTTTGGACCTTTCCGCATTCTTTGAGACTGCGCGCAGGCTACCATCTTGATAAATATTCGTATAATCAGTTTACAATAGTTTCTGTTTAATTGCTTATCCATCAGGGGCAGGTTTTTCAAAACTGGGTTAGCTTAACCCTAGGTTAACTTAAAATTCAAAGCAAACTTCCCAGGAGCTTGTTTATAAATTTGGAAATATTTCTGACTTCAGAGATCTTGTCTGAATCACCAAGAGTTTTCTTCTCTGAAGTTTGGAAATGAACAGACGGGCAGAAATACATAAACTGAAACAGCAGATTAAATTTTAACCCAGGGTTAGCGTTAACCCAGCTTTGAACAACGGGGCCGAGAACGACAAACAAAATATCACAATCATGGTAAAACTATTCAATACAGTTCATTTATATCAGTTCAATTTATAATAAAAGCGCTTTTATTTGGCCTTTGATATAACAATCAAAGCCTACCATAATCTGTCGAGAAATGGTGGTCTGGATTCTGGAAGCCCGGCAAAACGTCAAAGCTACAAAATAGAAGAGCTTTGCTTGATGTTGCACAAATCCTTTGTCTCAACTTCATTAATTGCACATGTCATCCGGTCAGCTATCCCTATAAGTATTGGACGATTACTTCATTGTACGAAAATACAATGATCTCATGCAATCACCGTAACCGTGCACAAATTAACATAAACTCCGATAAAAAACATAACACAATGATTTCTGTTCATTTTCCAAATCATCAGATCTTGATAGACTATGCTCGAAATTAAGTTAAAACTTTAAAAATATTTAAATAAAATCAAAAGGAAGAAATTCCCGCTGCCCTGCTTTCATATCCGGACGAGAAACATTTGGGTTTTTTTACTTGGCCTTATGAGTTTCGTGTAGTATTTAAAGCACGCGTAGGAGTGTTTTATCATATTTAAAATGCGAGTGCGACAAGTGTTTTAAATGAATTAAAACACGTGACTACAATAGATACGGTCTCATTAGTATTCTTTATATAAAGATGAGTCTTATCAGGTATAAAGCCACTTCATGTGACATATTATGGTTCACATGATTTGCCAAAAATATTATATTCTTATGTATTGTATTGTGTTCTATTGTATTCTATTCTATTGTATTTAATATAATATTGTATTGTATTGTATTGTATTGTATAATATTGAATATCGTATTCTATTCTATTCTATTGTATTATAATATTGTATTCTATTCGACTGTGTTCCATTGTATCCTATTGGCATTGTACAATTGTGTTGTTACTATTGTATTATATTGTATTCTAATAAATTCCGTTGCACTCAATTGTATTGTATTGTATTGTATTGTATTGTATTTCGTTGTATTCTATCGTAATTATTCTATTGCATTCTATTTTTATTGTATTCTAATGAATTCCGTTGCATTCAATCGTATTCTATTGTATTCAATTGTAACTCTTGACGAAGGGCCTTCGCTCGAAACGTCGAGTTTATGCTTATTTTTTAAGGTAGTATACTATATAACCACTCAGCACAGCATTTTCACATTGGTACTACCAATACTGGTACAGACAGTTTTAGTATATATATTCAATTGTATACCATTCTATTGTAATCTTAATAGCGCTGTATGGAGTTCTCGTAGTTCGTTGTGCTATTTTTGTTGCACCAAATTGTGTTAGGTTGTGTAGTATTAAGTTATGCATTACATGCATTTTTATGATATTACATACAATCATCACGTTTTCACTGACGAAACCTATCTATATAAATATAAACCAAAATCAACTTAAACTGCATCTAAAAATGCATGTGAGTATTAATTCAACGCGTACGAAGTGTCTGAAGTTTGAACTCTCTCTCTACACATCGTACCATCATGAAGTCTTCATGGCATGCATGTTCGTCAGACAATACTGGCAGGTTCAATGTGCTAAAAGGGGGGCAAAGGCTAATCTGCTAACAGCTTCTCTCTGAGCATATTAACAATTGTAGTATTAATCTAGGGCCTGCTATTTTAATCAATTTTTCATTCGCATCTATTAAACAGAGTTATTGGCAACTTGTATTGACTATATATAGTAATGTAATGTAAGAGGCGGAAAAGAAGCTTAGCGCTTGTGATTATAGGTCTTTTGATGTGCTCATGATCTTGGCTAGATGGTTATCACACCATATTCTCATTAAGAGTTGTTAATGAGAGATTATACTGTCGTGAAAATTTTATCACATTGCCAATTTGAAATGAATATTCACCCGGGGCGGGACTCGTTTAAAGAGTGTGAAAATGAAATGGCTAAAGCCCTGACCAAACTTTAAAACTTTAGTGAAATGTATATACCGGGTGTTCCCGGAAAAAATGCAGTAGGTATATTCTCCAGATATTATCTACAAAGCTAATTATTAGTGGGCATCGAAAATTTAATTTAAGAGATGAATTTGAATGCTAAGATTATTTATTTTTATTTTATCAGCTTTTATATTGGACATAAAAATTATAGATTACAAGGTGAACGTCCAATGGGGACTAGTGCAAAGTTTCAAAGATGGATTTTATGAACGAGATCGATTATGTTGCACAAAAGATACAAACTGTTCAATGTTCAAGTCACAACCGAAGACAGATTTATACACCAAAACAAAGTCTCTAAGTTCCTGAGTCAATGCTAATCCGAATACAATACTAAGGTCAAAATTCGTCTCTTGTATTAACTATTTGATGCTCACTAATATAGCTAGCTGTATAAAAATATGGAACATAGCTATTGCATTTTTTCCCGGGATATCTTGCATTAGGTGTGCTCATTTGTAGGGTCTTCTGCTGACGAGTAAATTCGTTTGAAGTTGAACAGAATAAAACCCTCTGGCGTTCGACAGAGTAAAATCGTTGGGGGTTATAGACACGGTGAAACAAGTAGCAAACCTGCTTGGCTGCTTTAAAACGTAATGATGCTTAATGATCATTAACGACGTTCAATGGTGATGCTTAAATTAATGGATACTTGATGATGTAAAAAATGCAGCCGATGATTTCGCGGTTACTAAAATTTAAACAATTTAATATTATTAAGATTTTTTTCTTTTTTACAGTTGACAGAAACGACGTTCGCAGGAAATGCGCAATTTATGTTAATTTAAAATATTTTTGCGCAAAATATTCTGTTTCAGAAATACACAATATTTATCGTGTGTTTAACACTTGAAGTTGTGTTATTTTCTGGGGTCATGTCTGTACGAAGGCTGGTAGTGATTTTTTCAAGCTTTGTAAAATTGTCCACTGATTCGCATAAATTGCCCACTAAAGCACTCCTGATCGTGTTTTAAATAGTACATACAATAAAAAGAATTAACATTTTCTCACTGTGGTAACTACCAGTTGACCACCATCTGCTGTTGAACTATAGTGCTCAATAAAACCACGGTTAAAACCAACGTATCTGAAGGCAGATCGTGTCTTTAACACTTGTCGGTAAAAGTTGTGTTATCTTCAGATCAATATATTCATCATAATTCAGAACACTATTAAGCCCAGTAATCTCCCCCGTGGTTCTCCAATTGGCGCAAATTAAACGCGCAATTGGATTTAATCCATTTAGATTTCCGGCGTTCAATCTTATAGAGGTATGCTAATTCTTCCGGTCAAGACGCTTGTTTATTGAAAATCGCCGGATCAATTGCGCTAAGCCGTTTACCGCAAACACACACTCACAATACACTATTTGTATATTTTAGTTTTGCACCTTGTCTCGAAATATCAAACAAACTTAGAGTGTCTTGTCGAGCGAAATGTCCTAAATTTAGATCCACAATGAATGCAAATACACTTTAGCAATACAGTATTTTCTTATTTTAGTATTGCATTTTGTCTCGAAATATGTAATAGGTTGGTTTCACTATTAAAGCACCATCTTGCCGAGATGACGGAGAGAAAACAATACTTATTTTTCACATTACATGTTGTTTTGTATTTGGACGAAAATAATGCAATGAACATGGAGGACAATATATGCTTAAAATGTTGCACTGGCCGACGTCTGGACAATGAAATAGCTTGCTGTTGATAGCTTCTTTATAAATTTATTTTAATGATAATTAGTGCATGTTAAGAAAGGGCCCCCACAGTAACTGGTTTGTATACATACATACATACATACATACATACATACATACATACTTTATTGTGTTCCCTAAATAGGGATTTTCAACACTGATTTACAAAAAATAAATGTTGTTCTATTTACAAGTTTTAGAATCTAGAATTTAAATTAAGGTAAAAAGGTAAGACATTTGTATAAAGTTTAACAAGGTAAAATTATCTACTTATATATTTGTTCTAGCATGCTTCGCTTCAGTTCGTTTTTGAAAATTTTTAGGGAGTCTAACTTTTTGTACTTTATGTCCAAATCATTCCAGAGTGTAACGCCTCTATAATGAAAGGACCTTTGACCTGCAGAAGTTTTGTACAATGGTATTTGCAGTGAGTCATGGCTACGTGTATCTCGTTGATGAATGTCAGAACGTTTTGTGAATAAATCGCTCAACTAATGTGGAGCAAGTTCATTGACACATTTGTACATCATAATAGCCTCTCTTAGTAGTAATTGTTCCTTTACTGGGAGCCAGTTAAGTTCGCGTAAGCCCGGCGAAATATGGTCGAACTTTCCAATATTTGTTATTATCCTGTATGCAAAATTTTGTACCAACTGTAGTTTCTTAATGTTGGTAGACGAAGTGTTTGACCAAACCGTTGAACAATAGAACATTTTGTTCATTACAAGTGCCGAGACGATGAGAGTTAAAGCTTCTTTATCGAAACATTTTTTGACTCGGTTTATTTGGCACAAGGAATTCATACATGAAGAAACCAGGTTGGTGATATGCTGGTCATATGTCAAATAAGAGTCGATTGTCATTCCTAGATCTTTGGCAAAGGAGACGGGGGTAATAGTCTCGTTGAGGAAGTTTATGGTCATATCTACGGGAAGTTGTTGTAGGTTTTGCCGTGTGCCAATCAGCAGGTATTTGGTCTTTCCCGGGTTAATAAGCAATTCATTTTCGGAACAACTGTTTGCAATCAAATACAAGTCTTCCTCAAGTTGTTGCTTTAAACAGTCCACGTTAGCCACAGTGGTGTCTGTTGTGGTGTCCCCCAACTGCTACACACATCGTCCCCAATATTACAGAAGTAATATTGATGTACATGTTTTGCTGTTTGTGAGTTGTTATGATGATACGTTTGTATTTGGTGAAGCTCAATAAATAAATAAATAAAAATAAATAAAATAGTCCATATAATTTCATTTGCTTGCTGCTACTGTACTAGAAGTGTCAACATTTAACGACCATCAGCTACGCCATAACGCTTACTGAAAGCCGACCGTAAATGCCCAATTGATAGAAAGATTAACAACACTGAGAATAAATAGAATTCAGTATATCAACTCACAATACAATATTTGTATAATTTTACTGCATCTTTTCTTAAAGTAATATACAATATAATACAAACATTTAAATAACTAAAGTTTAACTGAAGTTCAATATAAACATACTTGATTGATGAATTGTCTCTATGTTACATTATTTTACAGGATAAACGACTCTGAAATCATTGAAGATATCACAAACAATAGCTCAGTATTTGGACTCAAAAATTTGAATAAAATAATACAGCCACAGTGAGTAAATTACTCGAATTTATAAGAACTTCACTCAATCTTTTTTAGCAAATTTAGCTACTCAAATGTTGTGATTAAACATTTATTTTAAAATGATTAAATTTGCTCAAACAATTTGAGTGATTTTACTCAACATTTTCAGTTACTGTGGGTAGATTATTTTACTCAAAATTTTGAGTCAAAATTCTTTGCAGTGTGAGTGAAATCATATTGTGTCCCCATGATAAATTCTTAATGGTGTAGACTTATGGAAATTATTTTCGTGACTAAAATTTTCCAAAGTTTTCTTGCCCCGAGGCTTAGGATGCGACACATGTCATTGCACGCAAACGAAGCAAAAATTCTGAAAAATAAGTGCCCTTTATTGCACATCCATTAACTTAATCTGATGCAAGCCGGGACATGCACGTACTGTCAATCGCAATAGCGCAATCTATGCAAATGACCTTGAGCAAAAATATGTATAATACATCTAGGTATCAACTGCTACTCAAACGTTTTAGTGTGAAATGTTTCTACTTTTTAATAGTCATCCTTACAGCGAATAGACGCATTTTACGTGCATGTATGTCGTCATGATTGCGAATTGGCGCAATTTATGTAAATTAGATAGAATTTCCTCCCTAGCGCAAAACGACTCCAAATGTATTCAGTTTTCAGCTTGTTTACGCATTCTTCAAGTATGACTTGTTTATATTCATCATTAATGCCCAATGACGCATTTTATGCAAATATTGCACAGATGTAATTTATGCAAATTAGTGGCCCCAGCGCAAAAGTACGCAAAACGCCCGCACGAAAATCTTACACTGTTCGGCTTGTTTAAAGATTCTTCAAGTTAGAACAGTAAGACAAACGTGCATTGATTGGTCATGTAAATAACAGTTGGAAATCAATAAAATTCTCTGAGGGATGTCTGTGAGAAGAATTCTCTAGAAAACAGCAAGAGCTTGATAGAGCTCTGCATGTAATGACTTTGTCCGCCTTTCATACAGTTAGAGATGACATACAACTAAGCCTTATACCCTGAACCCAATTTCCTCATGGTCTCCAAAAAACACGCTAACACAAGTGTTCCTTAGGATACCAGGATTCCAAATTTTCAAAATGCATGTTACGAGATGAAACACATGGTACGAGTGATGACCTTTAATATTACGAGTTAAGTGTTTTCGCTTGCTGTTCAGATAGGGTCAACATTACTACATTATTATTCTACATTAGATTGTACGGCCGCAACAGAATATTCGTATGATATCACATTGTGGCTAAGGAAAGCCTGACTTGTAGCCATTTTATTCTGGTGGTCAGTGTTAGAAGGAGTACTCAGCATTTAGCATGTGCGCAAATGCATTTTCACTTTCACTTTATCGCTAACACATTTCCTCAGTAATAAAGTCTTGTCGGATTATAAGGATAGAGAGGCATATTGGAGTAAGTCACTTGCAAATTTGAGGTTGGTCTAAAGAGTCCGTAGCTACCCGTCAGGGAACTGAACGGGGGTAAAACACACTCCGTACGGTAGGGATAACATGGATCGCGGGGTATACGCACGAATGTTCCATATTCTCCAGGAAATCCCTGTTCCATGAGGCCAAAATTTTGCGCCGTCATATTTTGCGTCGAAATGTTTTGTTTTTTCCATTTTGTGCGTCGGTTTTGGAACCACGTTTTCACTTGAGTATCGCTGAGGTTTAGAGATTTGGCGAGTTTGTTGCGCTCCGAAATTGTCAGGTATTTTTTATCGTCGAATTTTTCTTCCAAGGATTTAAGCTGTGAGCTTGTGAATGCCGTTCTCCGGCGTCGCATCTTGTGTATGTTCACCGAGCTTCGATCTAAGTCTGGCGAACAAGGGGAACGGGCCTCTTCTAAATCGCAGCCATATTCTTCGTCTGTGAAATGTAACAAATAACAGTTAAAAATTTGGAAATTTCTCTCAAAATTAGAAAGAATTAGAACAAAAAGTATGGACGATAGTTCTATGTTATTCACTAGAGTTTTGTCAAATACTGAATTAGCTAACACTTAGTTGTTATACCCAATTTACAATTTCACATGCCTAGTTACTAATGCTCCAGCTTAGACTAAACCGTGTTAGTATTATGGAAATGAGTCACACACGCATCATGTAAATCATTCCGCTTTATAGCCACCTTCATACTAAGTTACCTTTGGCTTTGTTCTATTCGATACGTTTTTACACTGGAACAATGTAAATAGGCATGCGAGTTTTAATATCCAATTAGCTGATCGAGCAATTCTAGGTCAAGCTCAAACGTCGCGCTAAGCTAATGTAAATTATAAAACTCATTGTTTTAGCTCATTTGCATTATAGTGGGGCTAACACCGAAAGATGGCTTTGAGGGAGGTATATAGCTAGGTATATGGGCCAAGCCTAATGTAGATTAACTCGAGCAGAGGTATTAATAGAAAACGGCGTTTCAAACAAGGCTTCAGTTGTTGAGTAATAATGTAATATACTATCTTCCATTGTTGTAATTTCTCACCATGCATGTAGACTACATACCATAGAGTAACTGACTTATTGAAATCCTACTGTGTCCGACAAATTTTGGTTTGGCAAGGTCAAACAATTCACAGTCACAGAGTAAAAGCCCAAATACATACCAGCACATCATGGCAGTATAGTGTGCAACTGGACAAGCTGTATGGTATATTATTCTTTTGATTGTTTATCCCCAAATTTGTCTATGTTACATTTCCTGAGTTATATTATTTATATTTATCTGTTACAAATTTGGAAGCACCACTATAATAAACCCCAAAAAATTACACTTTAGCTAGCGTAGTTCATACATTCTGAGAAAATATCGTTACTAGGAAACAGAGCCTATGAAATGGAACCAAGAGCCTCAACATTCCTCTACGATGTTTCGTAGAGACATGTTGATATGAAATCTTGATAAATGTAAACTTATCCCATGCATAAACATCATGCGTGATATATGCTAATTTGTTCTAAAAATAATGTCATCATGATTGCGCTATTACAGCGCTGTAATGTTCTCTTTAAGCTCACGACTGGATTAATCTGTACGGTATAGACTACGGGTCACTCCGTAGCTCATGAATTGGTTTTGAGATTACAAACATAGGGGGCTAGTGCAGTATTCTACAATAAGCTGCACCGGTTTGTGTCTGAACTACCTGAAAAAGATTAATCACTCCGTCATTTCGAGCGAAGCCCTCTGGCCAAGAGGTTAATAGACTACAAACCTTTCGCTAGGAATGCCGAAGTGTTTTTAATGTCTTAGGTAATTCAAACACAAACTACAGCAGCTTGTGGTTTCGACTACATTGACAGTATCATGATTATAAAAGATAATCGAACCAAGTCACAACTTTACATTCAGATAGCAATCGAAAAACATTAACATTTCGCTAGGTATTTACGGAGTCTATATATAACATCTTAAACTTGGTAATTCTTTAATCGAAAACGACACATACCCCCAGGACAATTTTACAGTTCAGGCAATCTACTCAAGGCTACAAGATTCGCTTAAAAATTTTCTAAAGACGCAGTTTAAGAGGACACGCCTTTACAAGTTTTGTAAACGTGTCAAGATCCGTCTACAGTGAACAGGAATTTGAAGTAGTGATACTTCAAGCACACGCATATCTAAGTACAAATAATGGAAAATATTCCAGACTGGCCATGTTTTGTAATCCTGTGAGTTAAAATGTATTAAACAACAGTTTTGATAAAACTGACAAAACATCTCAGAAACGGGTCGTCGCTGCATGAAAATTAGTTGAAAACCACGACTTATAAATAACATTTTCAACATCAAATATAGCTTGATACATTTCAGAACATACATCTCGTCTAAACCACAGCCCGCCATAGGTATAATATATTATGTGTTAGGACATCCGTTGAGCTTAATTTTAAATGCAGTCCATTGTCTTGCTTTGCAAATGAACACGTATGACCGTATATGCTTGTATTTGTATGACAAAAACGTTTGTCCATACAGGTATTTGAGTAATCTATTTGCTCTTGTTTTTCTTTATTAATGACTAATTATGTTTCTATAATGTATAGTAAATATGCGCGCATGTATCGTAAATACGATTATAACAAAGGTTCCCAGTGAGTAATGCTACGGGCTTTAAAATACATGTTCAAATATAAATTTGAATGTGTGCTCGACAGTTTGTATGAACGCATCGTTTGTGTTTGTATTTGTATGGAAACATCATTGCGATTTGCTGAAATAGCTGAATAAACAGGTTAATATCTCGCTTGAGAAAACGTAGCCTTTCAATAGTAGAACACTGCTAGTAATTGGTGATTGATTAAAACAAATTGAGAATCACACACCTTCATCATCATCTGTGTCCGTGAGTTTTCTTGCCTTGGTCGTTTGTATTGGATAGCTCTCACTTTTCAGATTCTGAGTATCAAATGCCCGACTGTCTTCGTAAGTGCGTGTTCCCAATATCGCGTTTATACTGAACGAGCTCATCTTTCTAGAGTGTCTTTGTCCGCCGATGCTGAAGCGCCTCTGCTCGCGGTGCTCTGTCCAGGCGAAGCAAGCTACTAATACCACATTACCACAGGCACTCGAAAATTGACCAACCTGTCGGCGAAACCTTTGAAATGGCCCTCCTGTGGCGACATGAATCAGGCGTGACGAAGTGGTTTAATTGTTTCTTAAGTGTTAAATTGTTTTCATAACAAGAAATCGTTCGTTTCATTTATTACCTGCAGTTAAATAAGGTAACTGCCCCCACGTGCGAGTACTATGGCCATTTATAATAGATCATTTGTGCCCTAAACACTGTGAAAGGAAAGAATTTCCACCGCAAGCATAGGGTCATTCAGAAGTGTCTGAAGGGGGAAATTGGTTCAATTTGGCTGCGACACTTATTAATAAACAATACCTTCTTAGACTTTTCTAAAACGGCGCTGGAATTGAGTACTAGCTATTTACAATGAATCATTTATGATGTTAAACACTTTCAATGCATTGGATATCAACTGCGCGCATCATCGAGACGTGTTTGAAGGGGAAATTGGTTGCGAGGGTTATCAATAAACAATCCGTATCTAACACCGCGCCGTCTGTTACTGCGGTTCAAGATCTCTCAAACACTATCCCTAACAACACACATAATGAATAAAACAGCGCAAAATACCAAAACACGTCACAGTGTTTTCCTAATTTAAAATATACAAGTGTCTAACGAAGCTCAAGAATGTCTAAAGCAGAATATGTCAACCATCAGGAATCATCGATTACCATAATTAAATTTTCGTAATAAAACTGAAGGGTTGCTAAGTTTTCATCAGCTCAGTTCATTTGTAATGTGAAAACCTATTAGCGTTAGTTCCTGCGGGGAAATTAGGAAACCAAGGTTTTTTGAATACGTTTTGCTGAAGTGTGGAGGAAATCACTATAATTGTAATAATGAAATGTATGAATTCGCTAAGGAAACGCGGAATTTATGTTAATTAAGTATATTTCTACGCATATTATTCTGTTTTAGAAAATGCGTGATATATAGGTTAATTTAAAACATTTTTGCGCAAAATATTCTGTTTCAAAAAATGCGCGATATAGGTTAATTTGCTGGCAATTTGCGCAAAAAAATGTGTTAGAAATGCGCAAAATGTTGATTTTAATGGTAGCGCAATATATGTTAAATATACGATATTTTTGCGCAAAATATTCTAAGAAGGAAATGTGCGGCTTTTGTGGTAATGTTACATGTTTGTGCAAAAATTCTATTAATTAATTCGCGCTTTGCACACCTACTCATAGATTCACGCAATTACGGCAACAGCGCACATAAGCTTCTTTTCTTTCGATACAGTTCTTGCGCCAAGGCAAGGCGTGCGTCAACTAAGCGCAATTAAATTCCTTGTATCGAAACGCTAACTGACCCATCAACAATCTGACAGATTTTCGTTGTCTCTACAATCAAACTATTACCACTCTTAAACTAGGCTAAATTCCTCAGCGATGGGAAACAGCTGTGCGCAATGGACAATAATAAATCCAGTTAAGATTGAAACGCCATGGACAGGAAGAACGACCGTCTTGCAAACGGCATTGGAAACTGTGCAAAGCTGTGAGAATCAAAGTCGGCCACCTTGTTTACGTTACAAATATATTTCTTCAACAATCAATGTATACGAATGAGTCTATTAATGGCTACCAATCGTTTATGAGTATTAGGTTTAAACAGCACTCAAGTTTCAAAGTGTTTAGTAATCCGGTAAATGGATGAATCGTATTTCCGCCATGAAATATTGCTTCAAGCGCATCTGTTGATGGAAGTCACTTAGTGCGCACGGACACTTTCTACGGGAATTTTAAATAACATTGACACAGAGCTACATCTACACGGCTACACCGACTTTCCATATGTTATGTCAGGGTATTAAATTGTTTATATTATTGGTATTTAATGTAATTAATTGTCCTGATGATATTTCGAGTCAAAGTGTCATTCAGGTTGAGTATATTTTTGTTGCTTTCGTGTTAGTTTTGACATATGTCACAGGCATTCCATAAGTGTGTGTCTATAATGCGCCAGCCTATACGAAATATTTTCCTGACTTTATTAATAAGTATTAATGCTAATGAAAAGATTAAATATGTTGCACGACGGCCAATCATTTGATTTAAGTTATGACATGAATCGCGAGTATATATTATAAAACGAAACTATATCACGAGAATGTTGGGAATGTCCCGGACATTAATGTTTTTATTGGAAAAACTACATCGTGGACATCTCATTTAAACTAGACAATTTAAGCCCCCCCCCCCGTATTTGTTAGATCTTGAATAGGTATAAACATTCGAAGGCACGGACTTTTTACATTAGAACGGCAAACATGAAATCGTATTTAGAGGTCAACAGTTATAGTCGTTCGAAGTAAGGACAATTTGTACATTAAAATTAAAGCACGCGAGTTTAGCTACTTGGCTGTCGAAAACTTACTTACCTTCGAATGCGATTTTACCGAGTTTGCCCTTTTGCGGTTAACGGTTTATTAAATTTGTAACGTCAATCCTTAACTTAAGTTTCTATTAAGACAACTTTTAGGCTATAAAAGTTAGCTTAACTTTGCACACATATATTGCAAAAACAAAATATAGAATAGGCATGCAATGAGAGCAAAAAAATCAGGAACTTAATTGCTCATTAAACATTGGCACGATTTGCGTTTAAAAGTCTTCAAATCGTTTAGGGACTTAGAGCTTTCAAGTAAATTGTTCCATTTCCTTGAATGTTTGAAATGCCTTTCGTTAGAAATGTGCCGCAAAATACCAGAGACGAGAGTCGTACAATCCAGTTATTTCAAAAACAAAATCTTGTAAAATGTAAAAATCCAATAATAGAAGCAAAAGATTTCAGTAAAACCACCGAAATCCGGTGACAATAAACGCAAAATCCGGAAAATCTCCATTCCATTAAAAGATTAAGGTAGGATGATCATTACAGTCAAATAAATCAATGACGCATACAGCCAGAAGAATATTACAAAAAAAGTTTTATATAAATCTCCGTAATCGTTACTCGTTAGTACTTCGTAAAGAAACTTCAGTCAATAACACTATTTTGGTCAGGAACAGAACCAGGGGTTATTTTCGGTGAGCTCAATCACCGTCACCACGCACAAATTAACATATACTCCGACAAAAACATACAATTTGTGTTATGTTTTTAGTGTCGGAGTATATGTTAATTTGTGCACAGTGACGGTGCTCATTGTATATTTGTACTATTAAAGCTTCAGTATGATCCTGTAGGAATTTTGCACAAGTAAGTTTGAAGGATTTGTAAGAAATAGTGTTTGAGGAAACTGATCCTTCAAAACTTAGAATTTACCCATGCAAAATTCCTACTGTGATCACAGAAACTTTGATAGTGTAAACCAGGCCTAACCGTCCAATAGGGATAGCTGAGATGAAACGTGCAACCACGATGAATAATATTTAATGAGGTTGAGACAAAGGATTTGTACATGGTAAGGTACAGTTCAACATCAAACAAAGCTCTTCTATTTTGTAGCTTTGAAGTTTACCGGGCTTCCAGACCATCATATCTTGACAGACTATGCTATTATCACCTCCTGGGACACAACAGACAGCAAACATTTTTTTATCCAGGTCCTTTGGATGAGGTTTTGAGCAGCTTAGACTGGATAAAACGTGGATAAAGAGATGATTAAATAAAAAATTTGATGCATGCAGTCTTTAATGAATCAAGCCGTACGACTTAAAACATCTTCGTCAATTTAGGAGAACGAGATGTCATAAATGGCTAGACTGAATTATTTTCACCCCTTCCGAGAATTGATAACATTATTTTTTTAAACGGAAAGATTTTAAACATCTTGTCTTGCATGACAATGCTATGTAATAGACATTAATAACTACCTATAGTATAGTTTTGTATGGCGTCGTTATTTTAGTTATATATTTTGTATGCGTTATTTTATTATCTATTTTAGTATATATGAATAAAATGTTCATATTCGGAGCTACGGTGGTTTTCTATTTATTTGGAGTTGTTACAATCATTTGAACCCACTGGAAATTGTATCATATAAAACCCTAATGTGGACGGGTTGTCAAATAACAAGTTCAATTCTAAGCTTTTTACAAAGTCGAGATTAAGTGGTTTCGTAAGGAAACGTTTCTTAGCCTAGGGGCAAAATTTTGGAACAAAAAGAGATGGGTTCCATATTCAGTCACAGGCAAAAACTACTTGATGATACAGCTGGCTGCACTGGTCTCTGCATTGGGTAACTGTGGATAGTATGTGATCTTTTGGTACGTCCGTGAACATCATTGGGTAATCTTGGATATGGAGGGACATCAACTGTCCTGTAATATGTATAGAGAGGACACTTTTGTGGTAGTCCCTCTTGAACATTAGGGATAATGATGGATCTTGGAAGTACACAGACATTTTTCTTAAATTTTGTTCTTCGATTCTGGAACCAAGTTTTAACTTGATCCTCTGTTAACCCTAAAGATCTTGCAAGTTCCCCACGGACCCCTACACTGAGGTATTTTTGACGGCGAAATGTGTCTTCTAGAGTTTTTAGTTGGGCTGAATTGAAGATGGTTCGGTTTCGACGCCATTTTGAATGAGAGGATTGGTTAAACTTCAGCGAGCCATCTTCTGAAATATAGTCTTTGAGGTTCAGATCTTGCCATCCTGTATTTAGTAGAGATTAACAATTCATTAATGATTGATGACAATAACCACGGGTCTACGATGCAGGGAAATGGGAGGGGCATATCATGCCCCTATTGTATGCATTTTTCCGAACCACTGAGCTATATATGCCAATGATATTTGCCAAAACTGGTTAGTGTCCTGACTGGACCTCTGGGGAGAATAGATTAGAACTGACAGAGATGAATTGGTTTGAATGGAATGGTTTCCTCCTGTGGTACCAATTAAGGTATAGCCGTTGCTGGACCTCTACAGAGAACTGATAGAGCAATAAACGAAGTTCGTAAAATTTAGTCGAGGTTTCCTTCTGTAGTAACACTGGATCAATACGGAATGAACCTAATTGGACCTCTAAGGTAGATCAGTGAAGAAATCATAAAACTATATCCAGTATAAATAGTAGTTAAGTGTAAACAAGTCTTTCGCCTGTTTCCTAAGATAAACTAAACTTAGACAAAAATTGTTTATAAAACTTTTTATGAAGATTGTTTATAAAGATTATTTCTTAATCCAATTATCCTATTGATTTGTCGGTGAGCGATTTAGCCTACTCCCGCAGCGAGCTTCTCCATGGGCCGAAGTGGTCTCGCCAGCTTAAATTCTTTGCTGCTTTGTGCGATAAGAAATAGCAATTGAATTTTAAGCGCAAACCATAAACGGTAAGAGATTTGGATCGGTGGATGACAATCTAATAGTTTCCCCAACTTTACAGAATTGAAAAAGATCATTCACTGGTATATGTATAAAGTTTATAACTATGTATTCCGTTTCCAATGAATATTTTTGCCAACACAGGGAAGAAAAATTTACAAGTTTCTAGTAGGGTCTTTGTCTTTTTCAAAACGTTTGAAAAGGAAAATAAATGAGATTTCTATTTAAATGGGGGAAATGAAGGCATATGGGGTAAGACAAGTAATAAAAGGTAAATTAAGTACTTGTAACACAACCTATACGCATGCCTGTATTTTACTTTTGTAAAGGTAGCTCGTAATTTTTAGAGCTTTTGGCCAGCAGTTAGCTCCAGCTTTGAATCGTTAGCCCCACTGCCTCCAAATGATTTTTGAGTTGGCCTTCAACTAAAAGTCTGAAGCACACATTTTGAATACATTTTGATAGTTTACACTATCGAAGGAAAAGTGATCACAGTAGGAATTTTGCATAAGTCTTGAAGGATTTGGAAGAAATTCTAAGGGAACTGACACAGTATTAAAACACTGAGCCAGTTCCCTCAAATATTTCCGTTATAAATCCTTCAAAACTTAGTATTCACCTATGCAAAACTCCTACTGTGATCACAGAAACCTCGATAATGTAAAACCAGTCTTTAAACTGTGGAGGTAGCGTCGCCCCACGGCTTTCTACGTTCTGTAGGTCTTAACCTAGTTTCATTTTACAACCCTATAGAGGCTCAGCAAGAACACTTTAATTGACCTAGTGTTCTAGTGTTATTACAGAGAGATACAGGAAAACATGCATGTGGAGTGTGGTGTTTGGCCTACTCGTGCATCATTGAAGGGGAATTATCATCCGAAAACTGTATATAGATAAATTTGGCAACTTTAGGTCACTCACATGCCTAAAAACCAATACCAGCCGACAATTTCAAAAAATATGTACAAAACATAATCCGAAGATTAGCAACTTGAAACCCAAAATATGAGTCAAACACGAAAGTGAGTAATATTTCGATTTTATTACAAAATCACATCTAGTCTGATGATGATTTTGTCAGGTAATAAAATAGAAATATTACTCACTTTCTTGTTTGACCACGGTTAATAGAACTAGATTTGACTCATATTTTGGGTTTCAAGATGCTAATCTTTGGATTATGTTTTGTACTATATCACATGCCTAGATAACTATTGTTCCAGTATACTGAAACATAGAATAGAAGAAAGACAACTATAAGCTTTAGAATCATCTTCACCAGTGAATAACTCTTATACATAATTCTAATGCTTAGTTACCTTTGTCCTATTAAGCTATTTTATGCTTCTGTAAACTGGAACAATAGTAACTAAGCATGTGAGTTATCTATAAGGTTGTGAATTGGTAGCTAACGATGTAAATAAAGCCAAATGTGTCTATGGCTCATACACTAACCACGCCTATAAGGGTATATAGTTACAAGATAATATTATGGAAATATAGGTACATTTATGGATGTATACTTTATGAATAATATATCAATATATCATTGTACATTTATAAGAACAAAAGTACAAATGAAAAAAGCTGCAATATACCTGCACAAAAATTCTGTGTCATATCAAATTCCTTTTTGGTCGACTTGGGCTCTTCTTCGTTTTCCTCTCGTAAACTATGTTTTCCCCCAACACTTTCATCCGTTGACAGCAACGAGTCCACAGTGAAGGTCGAAAACACCGCCTTTTTGGTGGCCATAATTGTCCACGCAATTTTCAGTGCAATCCCAAACCCCGCAAGTGGTCAATTGTTCAAAACGGAGAAATTGAAAGATTGATGTACGGGCTAAAATGGTCAGTAGTGTCGGTATTGTCGCGTGTTTGTTGTCTTCTGGCCAACTTCGTTTGACGGCCTGCCCACCGCAAAAGTATAGACCTCGTTAACTTAATAGCTTTTTAAATCGATAAGGAATAGAGTTATGTTAATTAATTAATGGTGTAATCATTTCGCGATAAGGAATACAGTGAAAGGAGGCCGATCTAATGCGCGCGACCATGACAGGCAAATTAACATTTAGCGCGCTTTTACGCGTTTTATTCAAAAGACATCGCCGCACTGTGCGGTGGTAAACGTGCCGAGACGAGGAAAATTCTGAGACCGATTTCATGCCCAAAAATGGGACTTTCTAAATTAGCATAAACTGCCAAAATTATTCAAAGCCGCGCAAATTACAGTGTGTTGATACAAGGAGTGCGACTGGGTGATTCCCGCAGAAAGTCAATATATAAAATTTAAAACAGATCAATTTTTGACAAAAATTATGGAGTTTAGCTTTTTGTCATGCAGTGGTTGTTTATATTTGTATCTGTATATACTGTGGGAAGTTGGTATTTATCCATGTCATGTTATTGTTATATAAGAATTTATATTGAAACCTTAATTTGCCGCTCTGTTTTATAAACAAAATTTAGTACATCTACATGTAAGTGTACTTAAAATATCATTAATAATTCATGAAGAAAATTCAAAAGAAATGAACGTTTAATCAATGTTTGTGAATCGGATAAAGATTTGTCCTGATTTACATAAACTTTAGCTTTGATTTTCTCGGCTTAGACAATGTTTATTTTTGGAATTACTTCACCAATGTCAATGAACTCATAAGATGGGTCGTTTTTTTATGTAGATTTGATAAAGATCAGCTGCTCATGTTTTAACTAGTACATATATATGTACAGTTCTATGCTGAAGTTCTATTTTATGTAAAGTTAGCATATATTTGATACGGTCAGTATCAGAAATTTTAATCAGTAAACGGATAGCGTTTTTAAACCATTCTGTTTTAATAAGTATAGTTACTTTAGTAGAATTGCAGAAAAACTAAAATAATTCAACAGTTTAAATACAATGAATACCAGTAAAGTTTGTTTCTTTATTCTAGAGAACGGCGCAAAATCAAAATATTGTTGGCAGGTCAACACATATATAATATATTAAAATTTTTCTGATATTAAACTACGATACAACTCTCTATATAATCCATTGCACTTCCCCCTTCTATGGCCTTAGAAATTAAAATAAAATTATCTGCAGGCTGGCAAGAACAGAGACCAAACAGATCGTTATTTTATACACCGTGGCGTGCAGTCGGTGCATGCAGACAATCCCTCATAGAGAGATTTGTAACAATGTGCTAAGCCATTAACTATTGTGCTAAAGCGTCTTCCTTGAAATGAGGTCATTATAGTCAGTTCTCGCTTAACGTGAAAAATACATTCAAAACGACCTGAGGAAATTAGCATAAATCACGGCGGCAAATTAAAAACAAATTAAAAATGAATAGCGCACGTCCAAAACACGCCGATGTAGCGCTATAAATTGCCGTATTTAGCACAAATAGCGCTGTTTGTGAGATGTTAGCGGTGTCTATAAATAGAGGAGGGAAATTAGATTGAAATTTAACGATCTCTTGATAGTTTGTCGGGTCTATTGCGGGTCTACTTAAAAAACGAGAAATGAATGTGAAACGCATCTGTGTGCTGTCTTAGTACGCTGGGTTGTTCCGATATACAGACGTTGCTTTGGGCATTTGTACCGCAAAAACTTTAATTTCATTTTAGATTAATTAAATTTTTTAACTTGACTCTTGAGGTTAAGGAATATAGCTAGTTACAATAAATATGAAAAACTTTCATTATAAATACATTCATGTATAATTATAATTCAAGATATACGTGCACTTCACACCGTTTCCGTTGAAACAGTTGAATGGAATAAATATAAATCGTTTATGAGATCGTATTAGTATTATTTTGATTTACATTAATCATTATTATAATTTCTCATGCAATATACCTATAGTTATACAAAATGAAATTTCTCAAAAATACACAATTGTTGTAAATATAGCTTGCTGTGTTTCAACAAAATGTGTCGGGTGCTCGGAATTACGGCCAGATGGAAGTCAAATATACATTTAGAACCACATTTTATTCAAAACACTGTAAGACTATATAATTAATATCAAATTTGTACACATTAACTATTAAGACTGCGGAACAATCATGGAAACACGCCGGGTTCCAAGTAAAATATATCTATCTTTCATAATACCATTGTGTGCTATATATTATCTTAATTTACGTGATTGATCTTTCCATATACTTTTACTAATGAAATTACATTAAATCAGTAGCGAAACCAGCCAGACAATTTGGTCATGCTATGCAAATTTTAAATCATTATCGTTATTCATTTCTTTAGAAATTGATTGTTTTTACATTCTATGAACACGGAAATATTTGCACAGCATAACCAAATTGTCAGGCTGGCGCTGGCTTCGCCACTGCATTAAATACAGTTCAATATTGATATATATTATGATTGCGTGATAGGTTTGCGTGCGCTTCGCACATTAGCGGAAGCAATAAGTGACATATGTACAAATAAATTGCTTATGAACAAGTTGAAAAAGGAAACTGATGTTTCCTTGATGAAGAGATCCGATGCATCCGCACTGATTGTGGATGAGAATTTCACGCGGGTATTTGTTGCTAGTTTCACACGCACATTTACAGTATAGTAACAATAGAGAATTCTTAGAGCAAGACTAATTTCACAGAAAGTTCAGAAACTAAATTTCCGTATTTAATAACACACTTATGAGAATCAAAGCTTTCCGTTGAGAACGACTTGGACAAAAGTCACAAAACGAACAATACTCAATAGCAATAATAATGCGGAACGCGGTCGATAGTGGCAATGTTGTAGATGTCCATTCGCACCTTGGCTTCACCTTGGTGGAAAAACTTTTTCACATGGGATTTGTTTGAACACGAAAGTCAACTAGCAATTTAACTCATAACGTCCTACTTATCATATATCATATATCATATATCATATATGAAGACTGTTTGTGTCAAATGTCACAAAGCCCGTCCTTTGGATTCACTCAGTGACACTTTGTGCTGCTAGTGCCCTTTCTTTATATTATGTGATGACTTTTTTCTTTTTTTTTTTTTGTTGTGATGCACTATTTAGTGTTTAACTTTTTGTATACAATATTTTTATGTATTTTGCAACTTACGCGGGACCCGTTATTGGAACTTCGGCTCTGTGGGTGCGCCCTTCCTGTTTTTGGGTAAATTAAATAAATAAATAAATAAATATATCATATATATATCATATATATCATATCATATATATCATATAATATATCATATCATATATCATATCATATCATATATATCATATCATATATCATATCATATATCATATCATATATCATATCATATATCATATATCATACAGCTCACTCCCCAACGGGGCTTTTCAGTGACCGATTACATCAAGTATTACGCTTACTTATATTACCTACATATCATATCATATATCATATCATATATCATATCGTATCCAGATGATCTTGATACGCGGAAAAGTCCTGACACTAGTTGTCAAATAGAAATCCATTTTATGATTAAAACAACTGAATATCTCCTGTAATATACTTTATTTCAATTCCATATTTTTGTCAGAGCTATAGTTCTCATAACCAAACATAATTACAAAATTTCAACTAGTTTCATAAAGAATAACGAAAGATATAATTGACTGAATACATCAAAATGGATTTCTATTCGGACAACCCTTTCTGAGCGCTGATTGGCTAAAATACGAACACGAGATCACCTGGATACCATATCATATATCATATCATATATCATATCATATATCATATCATATCATATCATATCATATCATATATCATATATCATATCATATATCATACAGCTCACTCCCCATCGGGACTTTTCCGTGACCGATTACATCAAGTATTACGCTTACTTATATTACCTACATATCATATCATATCATCATATCACATCATATCATATCACCTAATCCTGTCCCATCTACACAAAATGTTGATTTTTTTTCAATTAAGGTAAGCAAATCCAATATAAACTTTATGCACCTATGCAGATGAGAGCTAAGCTGAATTACGAAGAACGCAGCTCAACCTGATCCAGTCGAAGACTTTCTTTAAGGGCGTATCTGGCAGCCACCTTATGACTCATATCTTGATCATGAAGCACAGCTATGGTGGAAGAGTCAGTTGGGGCCCCAGCCAGAGTTCGTAGTCTCCAAGACTTTTCAAAGACCTTTCAGAGCAATCAGCTGTCGAAAAATTGCGAGTGTAAGCACTATTTTTACTCGGTAATTAGTCCCGTCAAATCACATCCTAAAATGCACCTTTTCGTCGATATTTGCTAAAATCTTGCTTCAATCAATCTATTTTATTAGCTAGAAAATCGTATAATCAAATACTCGCTAAAGAATTCAAAGACTTTTAAAGACTTTCTTCGCCTTGTCACACAATTCAAAGACTTTTCAAAGACCTTAATAACTTGAATTCAAATTTAAAGACTTTCAAGGATTTCAAAGACCACTACGAACCGTGCCAGACCACCCTGTCATCATTCCCTGTGGGAGAAAACTGGAGTGCCTGGGGGAAACCCACGGCCTTTTGTAGAGTATTCACCGACTCTTTCCACATTACTATTAATCAAAATAAACTACTTTATAAATTATATAACTATAAACTGCCAAATTATATTCTTACTAATACCATGCTTGTAAAACTACTTAAGTGCTGATAATAATGTGCTGCTAATGTAAGACAGAAGAGCGACCATCCACACCGCGGACGCGCTCACGCGCGATATATGCAAATTAGATTTTGACGAAACAAAGTAAAAAAAACAAATAAAATTCAATTCCGCCATTTTGTTGGTACAAGCAGTGTTTCTGCTTCAACATTTCAAATTTGAATTTCCTTTAAATTTTTATCGAAAACTTTAAGGAAATTTGTGAACCCTTTTGGTCACGTGATTCTCCACGTGTTCAACTTTCTGTACAATTTACACAAAATAGGAAATGAAATTCATTTCCTATATTCAGTGATAATTTTTATAGTTGAATAAGAAATTTCACACATTCATAACATTATAGTCAGAATATCTTCCCTTCTGGAGTGTCTGATATAATACATCACACATACAATGCAATTGGCAAATTACATTTTAAACTTTTAATGTTTGTTGAACAATAGTGATGTTCTTATATATTGTCAGTCAATGGACCATTCCCCAATTAACCAAAATTTTGAACTCAACAAGTCTGGACAAAAATTTCATCACAGCTTGAAAGATCATCACAAAATTAGTAATATTCCAAAGTTTCGTTGCGAAATGTTGTAAAATGCGGATAATATAGCCTTGCGAAGTTTGCAATTTTCAGTCATTTTAGATTACAAACGGGAAATGGTTACCACTTCTGTGCGTAATACAAAATGACTGAAAATTACAAACTTCGCAAGGCTATATAATCCGCATTTTACAACATTTTGCAACGAAACTTTGGAATATTACTAATTTTGTGATGCTCTTTCAAGCTGTGATGAAATTTTTGTTTAGGCTAGTTAAGATCAAAATTTTGGAAAAGTGGTAACACCATTTCCCATTTGTAATCTAAAATGACTGAAAATTGCAAATTTCGCAAGGCTATATTATCCGCATTTTACAACATTTCGCAACGAAACTTTGGAATATTACTAATTTTGTGATGCTCTTTCATGCTATGATGGAATTTTGTCTAGATTTGTTGAGATCAAAATTTTGGTTAATTGGGGAATGGTCCATTGTCCCATGCATGCAACTCTCAGAGGAATACATGCCATCTCAAACTCTTCGATTTCTCAGTTTTTGTAGCATAGTTCACAATTTTGTTAATCTTTATAATGGACATTCTCCGACCTTTTTTCTCTCCAATTAGATTTACAGTAACACTTCCACCAACCATAATACCATCATGATAATTATATTATTAATATCTCTCTTACCTAGTTAGAAGCAGTCTTGGATTGCATGGAAAGTCGCTGGAACTGTTGTTGAAGACTTCCTAGTGTTTGTTTATGTTTCTGGAACTTATTCTCTAGGTCTTGGATTGCTTTGTCATGCCGTTCTCTAGAAAATAATACGTGGGCCTTTTGCATAATCTCGTAAATATGTCAAAACAACGAGGAACTGGATGGCATGGAGAACTGTGGAATTTTGACAAACGGTGGAAAAATACAATAGAACATTCCAATCACTGGATCACGACTGGATGGGATGAAAAACAGTGGAATTTTCAAAACAATGTCAAAAAAGTAGGAGGACGCAGTAGGAATGTTCGGTATGAGAAATTTCCGGTATCGGTATACCGAAAAAATTATACCGATATTATCGGTATAACGGTTTTCCTTTGATAATTATAAGGAAAATTCTTTAATGGAAGTTTGAAGGAAATTTTGAGTATTAATTCTAAAAGGGAAAACGATAATTTCGAAGCTGTTTCGAACGACATGCACGTACTCAGTGTAAAATCTCACTTGAAGTGGAAATTCTAAATCATTGCAGCAGAAAGTTCTCTGAATTGCCATTCAGTAGTAAAATAAAGGTTATGGTTTCGCCATATAGTTGGTAAATTTAACACGGTATACCGAAAAATTCCGGTATTTCCGAAATTTCGGTATATCGGTATGGTTGAATATCCGGTATCGATATACCGATATTGATTTAATACCGATATTTTCGGTATATCGGTATACCGAACAGTCCTAGGTCGGAGTTGGCCAACAGAGGTAATTTACTATAGGTAAGTAGGCGGAGCACTCTCCTGTAGACCTGAAAATAATTCTAGCTTTTCTTGGATCGTAGGCGTGGGGCCGTGGGGGATATTTTCTTCGAAAACACTGTTATCAAATTTAGGCCAGGGGGTATTTTCATTGAAAACACTGTCATAAAATTTAGTTGGTTTAACAGCACTTAAATTTTGACTCTTACAGCTGTTAGGCATTAACTGTGCTTCACAAATCTATTCAATTAATAATTTTAACCTTTTTGTTGTTGATTTTTATGGATAATTGTTTTTAAAGAAATTTCAAAACTTTCTAACCAAAGAAAATTGAAAATCCTTTCTAGCAATCAAAAAATTTTCTAGAAAAGTTGTTCCCAGGATCCACCATTATTTCCAGGTCTGCTCTCTTGTCACCCCAGGATTTAGATCCTTGCTGCTAGAAGAGGTATTTATTTTACAAGGGATGTATCCTACCATGTCACACTATCTCCTTAAATTATGTTGAGTAATTCTATAAATCATATACTCACATTTCTTTAGTTATATACTCAATTCTTTTGGTCACAGTGTCCTTTGCCTCTGTGGGGTCTTGCTTCACTAACACAGGGCCAATTAACTTGTAAATTGAACCATCATCAATATGATTTAATTCCTAACAAAACCAAAAAATTAACATTCTGACCTATTTCTCCGATACCCTCATAAAATCAGGGATGGATCCTGCAATATCTGCTAGGGGGGATGCTCTGCTAGCTCTTGGTGCCGAGTTGTATCGGTCATGTGTGCTGCCCGCCCATCAACTTGCTTCACTACTGCAAAGTCTTGCTTGACTACTGTATTTGAATTGTAATTGTTGTTCACATTATGTTATTACTCAAATTACTGTATCTCATTTTGTCTCTAATAATTTTTATCATGAAAAATAGCACCCCCATGCACCCCCTTTGGCCAGGGCTAGGGGGGTGCACACACCCCTGAACCCCCCAGTAAATCCATCCCTGCATAAAATAAAGATTGTCTGGCATTAGACAGAGTAAAGTACGGGGAACGAAATAACAGCAACTCAATTTTAGCTCCGACGTACCGGAATTTCTGGCCGGTCAAATTATTCAGCTAAAAAAGCAAAGCCTTGTAAAGTATACCCCTAAAAATGTGACTGACTATCTTCCCAGTATAGCTTCTCAGTATTCCTTCACATAAAACAGCTTGCACTATATTTATTCATCGATCACTCGCTTACAATAACACCGTACATATACACAGAACTTGTTAATGTTTGTTCCTACACCAAATAAAATGTATTGCTGCATTCTTATATACAAATGTTGTGTTGGTTTATATCACTATTATTTGGCCTATGCCCACTCCAGAACATACCTAAACTTCGCTTGGAAAATAGCCGGCAAAAATTTTCACCTACGAAAAACAGCCTACAAAATTTGACATATTTTCGGAACATTATTTCGACTACCCTGCCGAATGGCAAAACTCCCTTTTCAAATGGCAAAACTCCCTTTTCAAATGGCAAAACTCCCTTCTCAAATAGCAAAACTCCCTTTTCAAATGCAAAACTCCCTTTTCAAATGGCAAAACTCCCTTTTCAAATGGCAAAACTCCCTTTTCAAATGGCAAAACTCCCTTTTCAAATAGAAAAACTCCCTTTTCAAATAGCAAAACTTCATTTCAAATAGCAAAACTCCCTTTTCAAATGGCAAAACTCCCTTTTCAAATGGCAAAACACCCTTTTCAAATGGCAAAACACCCTTTTCAAATAGCAAAACTCCCTTTTCAAATGGCAAAACTCCCTTTTCAAATGGCAAAACTCCCTTTTCAAATGGCAAAACTCCCTTTTCAAATAGCAAAACTCTCTTTTCAAATAGCAAAACTCCCTTTTCAAATGCAAAACTCCCTTTTCAAATGCAAAACTCCCTTTTCAAATGGCAAAAATCCCTTTTCAAATAGCAAAACTCCCTTTTCAAATGGCAAAACTCCCTTTCAAATGGCAAAACTCCCTTTTCAAATGGCAAAACTCCCTTTTCAAATAGCAAAACTCTTCTCTTTTCAAATAGCAAAACTCCCTTTTCAAATGCAAAACTCCCTTTTCAAATGCCAAAACTCCCTTTTCAAATAGCAAAACTCCCTTTTCAAATGGCAAAACTCCCTTTTCAAATGGCAAAACTCCCTTTTCAAATGGCAAAATCCCTTCTCAAATAGCAAAACTCCCTTTTCAAATGCAAAACTCCCTTTTCAAATGGCAAAACTCCTTTTTCAAATGGCAAAACTCCCTTTTCAAATGGCAAAACTTCCTTTTCAAATAGAAAAACTCCCTTTTCAAATAGCAAAACTTCATTTCAAATAGCAAAACTCCCTTTTCAAATGGCAAAACTCCCTTTTCAAATGGCAAAACACCCTTTTCAAATGGCAAAACACCCTTTTCAAATAGCAAAACTCCCTTTTCAAATGGCAAAACTCCCTTTTCAAATGGCAAAACTCCCCTTTCAAATGGCAAAACTCCCTTCTCAAATAGCAAAACTCCCTTTTCAAATGCAAAACTCCCTTTTCAAATGGCAAAACTCCCTTTTCAAATGGCAAAACTCCCTTTTCAAATGGCAAAACTCCCTTTTCAAATGGCAAAACTCCCTTTTCAAATAGTAAAACTCCCTTTTCAAATAGTAAAACTCCCTTTTCAAATGGCAAAACTTCCTTTTCAAATGGCAAAACTCCCTTTTCAAATAGAAAAACTCCCTTTTCAAATAGCAAAACTTCCTTTTCAAATGGCAAAACTCCCTTTTCAAATGGCAAAACTCCCTTTTCAAATGGCAAAACTCCCTTTTCAAATGGCAAAACTCCCTTTTCAAATAGCCTGTGTACAGCCGTTACTCTCGGCGAAGCGCACGAGAGAACATCTGTGAGTTGGATGCATAATCCTTGTTCAGGTCACATATGTATAAAAGTGTGAAAGCGACTGTCATTTTTGAAATTCTCCTTATATTTTTTCAGGCAGTTGCATCACTACCAATGAAAGCTTGTTCACTGTCATTACAAGTGAGTTGACTATACTAGATGACAAATAATAATTACCTCTAAAACAACTTTATTTTCATTAAGTTGTGCATCAAGCTTCTGGCGTGTACTAACAGTCTTTTGAATACCTGACAAAAATAAAAATTTTACGGTAAGACTAAAATAATTGTATATAGTTGTTAGGAAGGGGATCTGACAGGCTCCATGGTGGGAAATTGGGGTGCTGCGCCAAATATCTTCGGCGTACAAGGATTTGGCACACACCTAACTGATTTCTAGAAGAAACAATAGGTTCTGTTGTATGTAAGTCTATCTGACTGGCGTGCAAAAATCATTGGCATCAAATTGGTGTAAATATCCAGAGCACTATGGGACAGGCTTCATCAGTCCATAGTTCCAAGTTCCTCATCTTCTAGCTATTTAACTGAGTAAGATTAAATGTTTTTGAACTATAAATTCCTGGTACTCTATGATTTAGGTACTAAGTTTGGGTGCAAGCTAGCAAGTACTCTCTTAATAACATAATAGCAGACTCTTGCATAAATCAGGCCTGGCTGTTTGAAGCGTCCATCTCCACACACTAAGTTGTAGCCTAACTTGGTCTTTGCACTGCACTCTAGCTTAGATATGCTAGTGTATGAGCCTCAAAAATTTTCACTACTTAAATTTAGGGCAGCTTTATACTCATAGGTGGATTTTCATATTTTTTACTGGGGTGGTGCCAGAAATTTTACGGGGGTGAGCCGTGAGCAGGTGACTGAAGCAACTCATGATCGACTCAAGAAAAAAATCATGATTTTTAGCTTCGAAAAAAAGTTTTTTGAAGTTGTCATATCAATGGATTTGGCATGTCCGATTGTCTGTTGAGACTTGAGAGAATTAAAGTTAAATGAACCTGTAAAAGTGTAAACCCAATAGGTCAATATGAATACACAATATGCTTTTACTCTTATAAAGTCATTGACATTGTGTCGTTTGAATCCGAGTACATTTTATAATGCAACTCCGATGTAAATAATATTTGGGGCGTAAAGATTAAATCTAGGCAAGTCTATTTCCCAAAAGAATTAAAAACTAAAAATAATGTTCGTAAAAATTCCAAACGTTCCTTGCAAGCAAGCTATTTGCATGACAAGGCACTGCAAACTCTATTCAGGGGAGATAATAGAGTTTCAAAACTTTACAATTGCTCCAATAAACCAGTGAATGCAAGCGAGGAGCAATTAGTTTCAGAGTATTGCACTGTCTTTTTCTATTTGAGTGTACTCCTACGTTTATTTTGTATCATCAACACTCTGCACGTTGGAGTGGACTATTTAATTATTTTTTATTATGCCGAATATTGGGGGGGTTGAACATTTTTTTGGAGGGGTGGACATTTTGTTTGGGGGGGTTATAGCTAATATTGGGGGGGGGGTAGCACCCCCCTGCACCCCCCCACAAAA